CCGGCTATTCTGGCGATTCATGTGAAACAGGTAATCTATAACTTCTGAATAGATTATACAAAAAACATACATACATTCACTTTTGATGTAAAGCAAAATTCAATGAAATTCTTATTCGTTGCTTATCAAGAAATTAAAGATACAGAGCGAACAGGGGAACAGAAAGAAAGAAATTACAGTGATTGTTGAGGAAACTCTTTGAGTTTCTTCTTACTTGAGAGTCAACAGAAGTTAAAGTACAAACATACAGATTTGAACTTTGAAAGAAATAATCAGTCCGTTTACTTTGTTTGATTTATTGACTGATAGTTTCACAAATGAGCTAACTCTTTCCCTCACTGTCGTTAATTAATCGAATTGAAGATACCACTTTTGACTCTATTTTACTGTATCCCTCCAAGTGAAGATTATTCTTTTCAAACAGGTATTTTTCTCTTCTCGTCATTTTCATCAAATTCATTGCCTTCAGAAATCATTTTTTTTTTTTTTTTTTTTACATGTTTAGCTGATTGTCTTGCCGATTCATGTACGACTAGAGGAACTTGTTCTCCTGGATCAGCCGCCGTAACGTGCGTGTGTAATTCCGGCTATTCTGGCGATTCATGTGAAACAGGTAATCTATAACTTCTGAATAGATTATACAAAAAACATACATACATTCACTTTTGATGTAAAGCAAAATCCAATGAAATTCTTATTCGTTGCTTATCAAGAAATTAAAGATACAGAGCGAACAGGGGAACAGAAAGAAAGAAATTACAGTGATTGTTGAGGAAACTCTTTGAGTTTCTTCTTACTTGAGAGTCAACAGAAGTGAAAGTACAAACATACAGATTTGAACTTTGAAAGAAATAATCAGTCCGTTTACTTTGTTAGATTTATTGACTGATAGTTTCACAAATGAGCTAACTCTTTCCCTCACTGTCGTTAATCGAATTGAAGATACCACTTTTGACTCTATTTTACTGTATCCCTCCAAGTGAAGATTAATCTTTTCAAACAGGTATTTTTCTCTTCTCGTCATCTTCATCAAATTCATTGCCTTCAGGAATCATTTTTTTTTTTTTTTTTTTTTTTTTTACATGTTTAGCTGATTGTCTTGCCGATTCATGTACGACTAGAGGAACCTGTTCTCCTGGATCAGCCGCCGTAACGTGCGTGTGTAATTCCGGCTATTCTGGCGATTCATGTGAAACAGGTAATCTATAACTTCTGAATAGATTATACAAAACACATACATACATTCACTTTTGATGTAAAGCAAAATCCAATGAAATTCTTATTCGTTGCTTATTAAGAAATTAAAGATACAGAGCGAACAGGGGAACAGAAAGAAAGAAATTGCAGTGATTGTTGAGGAAACTCTTTGAGTTTCTTCTTGAGAATCAACAGAAGTGAAAGTACAGACATACAGATTTGAACTTTGAAAGAAATAATCAGTCCGTTTACTTTGTTTGATTTATTGACTGATAGTTTCACAAATGAGCTAACTCTTTCCCTCACTGTCGTTAATCGAATTGAAGATACCACTTTTGACTCTATTTTACTGTATCCCTCCAAGTGAAGATTAATCTTTTCAAACAGGTATTTTTCTCTTCTCGTCATCTTCATCAAATTCATTGCCTTCAGAAATCATTTTTTTATTTTTTTTTTTTTTTTACATGTTTAGCTGATTGTCTTGCCGATTCATGTACGACTAGAGGAACTTGTTCTCCTGGATCAGCCGCCGTAACGTGCGTGTGTAATTCCGGCTATTCTGGCGATTCATGTGAAACAGGTAATCTATAACTTCTGAATAGATTATACAAAACACATACATACATTCACTTTTGATGTAAAGCAAAATCCAATGAAATTCTTATTCGTTGCTTATCAAGAAATTAAAGATACAGAGCGAACAGGGGAACAGAAAGAGAGAAATTACAGTGATTGTTGAGGAAACTCTTTGGGTTTCTTCTTACTTGAGAGTCAACAGAAGTTAAAGTACAAACATACAGATTTGAACTTTGAAAGAAATAATCAGTCCGTTTACTTTGTTTGATTTATTGACTGATAGTTTTACAAATGAGCTAACTGTTTCCCTCACTGTCGTTAATCGAATTGAAGATACCACTTTTGACTCTATTTTACTGTATCCCTCCAAGTGAAGATTAATCTTTTCAAACAGGTATTTTTCTCTTCTCGTCATCTTCATCAAATTCATTGCCTTCGGAAATCATTTTTTTTTTTTTTTACATGTTTAGCTGATTGTCTTGCCGATTCATGTACGAGTAGAGGAACTTGTTCTCCTGGATCAGCCGCCGTAACGTGCGTGTGTAATTCCGGCTATTCTGGCGATTCATGTGAAACAGGTAATCTATAACTTCTGAATAGATTATACAAAACACATGCAAACATTCACTTTTGATGTAAAGCAAAATCCAATGAAATTCTTATTCGTTGCTTATCAAGAAATTAAAGATACAGAGCGAACAGGGGAACAGAAAGAAAGAAATTACAGTGATTGTTGAGGAAACTCTTTGAGTTTCTGCTTACTTGAGAGTCAACAGAAGTTAAAGTACAAACATACAGATTTGAACTTTGAAAGAAATAATCAGTCCGTTTACTTTGTTTGATTTATTGACTGATAGTTTCACAAATGAGCTAACTCTTTCCCTCACTGTCGTTAATCGAATTGAAGATACCACTTTTGACTCTTTTTTACTGTATCCCTCCAAGTGAAGATTGATCTTTTCAAATATGTATTTTTCTCTTCTCGTCATCTTCATCAAATTCATTGCCTTCGGAAATCATTTTTTTTTTTTTTTTTTTTTACATGTTTAGCTGATTGTCTTGCCGATTCATGTACGAGTAGAGGAACTTGTTCTCCTGGATCAGCCGCCGTAACGTGCATGTGTAATTCCGGCTATTCTGGCGATTCATGTGAAACAGGTAATCTATAACTTCTGAATAGATTATACAAAAAACATACATACATTCACTTTTGATGTAAAGCAAAATCCAATGAAATTCTTATTCGTTGCTCATCAAGAAATTAAAGATACAGAGCGAACAGGGGAACAGAAAGAAAGAAATTACAGTGATTGTTGAGAAAACTCTTTGAGTTTCTTCTTACTTGAGAGTCAACAGAAGTTAAAGTACAAACATACAGATTTGAACTTTGAAAGAAATAATCAGTCCGTTTACTTTGTTTGATTTATTGACTGATAGTTTCACAAATGAGCTAACTCTTTCCCTCACTGTCGTTAATCGAATTGAAGATACCACTTTTGACTCTATTTTACTGTATCCCTCCAAGTGAAGATTAATTTTTTCAAACAGGTATTTTTCTCTTCTCGTCATCTTCATCAAATTCATTGCCTTCGGAAATCATTTTTTTTTTTTTTTTTTTTACATGTTTAGCTGATTGTCTTGCCGATTCATGTACGAGTAGAGGAACTTGTTCTCCTAGATCAGCCGCCGTAACGTGCGTGTGTAATTCCGGCTATTCTGGCGATTCATGTGAAACAGGTAATCTATAACTTCTGAATAGATTATACAAAAAACATACATACATTCACTTTAGATGTAAAGCAAATTCCAATGAAATTCTTATTCGTTGCTTATCAAGAAATTAAAGATACAGAGCAAGCAGGGGAACATGAAGAAACAAATTACAGTGGTTGTTGAGGAAACTCTTTGAGTTTCTTCTTACTTGAGAGTCAACAGAAGTTAAAGTACAGACATACAGATTTGAACTTTGAAAGAAATAATCAGTCCGTTTACTTTGTTTGATTTATTGACTGATAGTTTCACATATGAGGTAACTATTTCCCTCACTGTCGTTAATCGAATTTAAGATACCACTTTTGACTCTATTTTACTGTATCCCTCCAAGTGAAGATTGATCTTTTAAAACGGGTATTTTTCTCTTCTCGTCATCTTTATCAAATTCATTGCATTCGGAAATCCATTTTTACTTGTTTAGCTGATTGTGGTGCCAATTCGTGTACGAGTAGAGGAATGTGTACTCCTGGATCAGCCGCCGTAACGTGTGTGTGTGATTCTGGCTATTCTGGCGATTCATGTGAAACAGGTAATCTATAACTTCTAAATAGATTATACAAAACACATACATACATTCACTTTTGATGTAAAGCAAAATCTAATGAAATTCTTATTCGTTGCTTATCAAGAAATTAAAGATACAGAGCGAACAGGGGAACAGAAAGAAAGAAATTACAGTGATTGTTAAGGAAACTCTTTGATTATCTTCTTACTTGAGAGTCAACAGAAGTGAATGTACAGACATACAGATTTGAATTTTGAAAGAAATAATCAGTCCGTTTACTTTGTTTGATTTATTGACTGATAGTTTCACATATGAGGTAACTATTTCCCTCACTGTCGTTAATCAAATTTAAGATACCACTTTTGACTCTATTTTACTGTATCCCTCCAAGTGAAGATTGATCTTTTAAAACGGGTATTTTTCTCTTCTCGTCATCTTCATCAAATTCATTGCCTTTGGAAATCCATTTTTACATGTTTAGCTGATTGTGGTGCCAATTCGTGTACGAGTAGAGGAATGTGTACTCCTGGATCAGCCGCCGTAACGTGTGTGTGTGATTCTGGCTATTCTGGCGATTCATGTGAAACAGGTAACCTATAACTTCTGAATAGATTATAAAAAAAACATACATACATTTACTTTTGATGTAAAGCAAAATCCAATGAAATTCTTATTCGTTGCTTATCAAGAAATTAAAGATACAAAGCGAACAGGGGAACAGAAAGGAAGAAATTACAGTGATTGTTGAGGAAACTCTTTGTGTTTCTTCTTACTTGAGAGTCAACAGAAGTGAATGTACAGACATACAGATTTGAACTTTGAAAGAAATAATCAGTCCGTTTACTTTGTTTGATTTATTGACTGATAGTTTCACAAATGAGGTAACTATTTCCCTCACTGTCGTTAATCGAATTGAAGATACCACTTTTGACTCTATTTTTAATACCTGTGTCTGTGCTGATGGCTTTAGTGGAGATGCTTGCACAACAAGTAAACAATCTTTAATCTTTACCTGAACAGTTGTTGTTTATTTTATTAATATGATAGTAGGTAATTTCATTTTGTAAACCGAAAACAGACCATGACAATCAGAGCCAGGATAATTTTTCACTATCACTAATTTCTACATGTGGGACAACAGTTCAGATTTTATTTTGACTTTATCCACATGGATCTATACTTGGCTTGTGAAGAACACAATGGTGTCTAAAATTATACCTTTTCTTGACATATCATGCCCTAGTCTATATTGCATTAACCCTTACTGTACTGGGCTATTTTGAGCACCTCCTGACTGGGTGGGGGGGGGGGGGGGCCTGGGAGGCCCCCCCCCCAATATGATCTCGGCCGTCGGATGTCCGGTGAACACGAAAATTTGCATGTTTGTAGATATTTACGTAACGAACAAGATGGTGTAATTAGTTTTTTGCGAATATGCAAATTTTTGTCGTTATAGCCTAATTAATTATGCAAAATGCTAATTTTATACATTTTACAGAAAACGTGTCGAACTTCACTTTTTGAACGTTGAAACTCATTATTCATATGAAACTTCTTTTCTAACACAAAATATTTATTTGGATGTAATTAATAATGATAATTTATGCAAATTTGATGCGATTTTCAAATATTTATTTTCTTATGTATTTTATTGTTTTTTTTAATTTCTTATTATATCTATTGTTTTTATTTCTTATGTATTCTTTTGTTCTGGAATACATCAAGTTACTTTGAGAAACATATAAAAGCAATTCGATATCAATTCATATCACCCACTTAGGAAGGAATACATCTAAACCTGTATTCACATTTCTACTTGTACATGAATATATGCAATTATAGAATATTTTTGATGACATGCGCATACTAATTGTTATGTAACACCTCACAGGTATATCCGATTGCGACGAAAATGGTATCAAAACGTGCGTAAGACTTGAGGGAAAAAAGTCATGAAACGACAATTCAAAATTTCAAGCGGTTGCGGCGCAATCTCCGAAAATGTTGAGGGGGGGGCCTCCCAGGCCCCCCCCCCCCGAGTACAGTAAGGGTTAAAGGTTACCAAGTGTAACACTGTTCAGATGGGAAAAAATGATTCTAAGGTAGTGACTTCAATGCTAGATGTTCAATTAAAGATAATCTAAAAATTTGAGTAAAAGCAGACCATTATTAATGATATAAATTTGGAAAAACTGATCTGATCGAATCCTTATTTCTCCCAGCTTCATTATTAAAATTGAATTACATTTAAGGTGAATGAAAATCGTCACAAAGCAATTAATTGGCTCTATATACCATTCCAGACATTCGAGTGTTGAAAGATTTATAAAATCCAGTTTTATGTTTTATTTTCATTGAAAAATGGTTGGGAATTTGTTTTTTAATGGTTGGGAGAATTTACTGTTTTACAGGGTGTCGAACAGTGATGCTTTTAAAGAAAACTATAAATATCTTTGTCGTTTGATAACTTTTTCAGGATTTTGTGCATGTTAGAGGGTTAGTACAGTAGAAGGAATATAATAAGTAACATTTCATATACAAATTACGCAGTTTCTTCATCAATCTTCAACAATGTTACAGAGTCACTTTAAATGATAATATTGTTTTTACATTTAAGACTACCGGTATTCATTTATTCACGGACTTCTGATTTGAAGATTCCAGTTTTCTTTAAGATAAGGAAATATCTTGGATTTCCTTTTTTCTCAAATATGTGTCGTTCAATGTGTCATGTACATAATGTTAAGTTACTTTTATAGCAGTTATCTCCTGAAAATATATGGAAATTTGTCTTTTTGTTAAGTACATAGAGTACAGGTCCTCGCAAAGTGTTATGTATGCTTTCACCCTTGAGTGTTCTAGCCACTAGACTACGACATCCTCTAATGTGCTTTAGGATCTGAATCATTTATCAGTTATCTTCTTTATTTACAGCTGATTGTGGCACCATTGTTTGCCAGAATGGTGGAGCATGCATAAGCTCTGGACAATGTGAATGTGTTACTGGTTTTACCGGTACTATGTGCGAGACTAGTAAGTATCCCCCCCCCCCCAAAAAAAGGAAATAAGTAAATAATAATAATAATAATTAGAACACAAATACAATTAAGAAATACATAAATGAATTGAGTATTCACGTATATAAATAAATACTGAAAATTTCAATTTAATATCTGATAGGCATGTACTTATCAATGATAAGGCGTTGGGTTATGATCAAATCCTGTAATATGATGCCATTTCTGTAATCAAATTAGTTTTTCCTTTCACATCATTAAATTCTTTACCCTTAAATGGAAAAGCAACCTTGATAGCAATCTGCTCTAGAGAAATGCAGGAGAAACAGAAAAGTAGACTGGTGAAATTTGAATGAAATCAGACAAAACATGAGAAAGTTGTAATTTTTAAAATTTGTAATCACTGTAAATATAGCCTCTTCAAATTGGCTGAATTGGTACAAATTTCCTATTTCTTCCATTTGCACACAGAATTACACAAATTAAGATTTCGATAAAATGTATGACTCAGTGGCTAATTTCTCTTAAGAAGAACTACATGTATACAGATATGCTACTAATACACTTTGGAGAAAAAGATAAATTTATGAAATTTTTTGTTCATGACAAATGGGAGAATTAACCATCACAATCCACTGACTAATTGCTACTTTGATATTTGCACGGATGTGGTGATTTAGTATTTCAAACATTCATAACTTTCTAATTATTGATCTGCTTTCTTTCAAACTTTTGTTTATCTTATTATTCTGTTTCATGCACATGAAATTGTTACAAGGGATGTTGTTGTTTATTTGTTTTTATTTTTTTTTTTTTTTAATAATTTTTAAGAAAGTCTTTGAATTCGTCTTCGCTACTAATAGATTATTCTTAGTGTGCCTTAAATCTGTATCTGGTACATGTATATAGAACTTAGCAATTAATTGGTCCATAACTTTAATATTTAATCCTATTATTGTCTAGGCCTACAGGGCCAATGTGGAGAGCAGTTTTGTAAATTACAATGCCACTTTGTTAGAATGAAATTTCAAATGCAAAATAAAGAAATAAAGATTATTATAGTTTCATTTAGGTGAAACATTAAGTCAATAGAATGTCAATGGCTTATGGTTGATAATTCATTTTTTTTTTCATTTTAAGACATTCATGAACCGGTGATTTCTATGCTATGCAAAGTTTGTTCATTGATTAATAAATTCAACCATCAGATATCAACGATTGTCTTCCCAATCCTTGTATGAATGGAGGAAGTTGTACTGATGGGATTGACTCGTTCACTTGTTCCTGTGTTGCTAGCTATACCGGGAGTATGTGTCAAACAGGTAAGCTAAATTATACCATTTTCTCACCGTCATAAAAACAGGAAATGGTTATATTTTATCTCTTTTTTTGGGTGGAGGCAAATAAGATGAAAACTCTTAAATAAAAGACTTAATTCTTAGCCTAGATTACGAACATGTTTTAAACATATTCGTAATCTAGGCTAAAAGTAGAGTCTGAACGTTGTAGCGTTTCAGATACTTGTTTTTGATTTTCTTTTCATTTAATCTAATACCGCGATCTCAAAGACTTCAAAAATATCATCTACCTTTTCCTACTCACTAATAGTTTTTTGCACAATGCAATCTCATGTCCAGAACTCAACCATTTAAAAGGCCCATGACATCGAAACAGCGCTCAAAATACACGGGGGCGGTGGGCGATTCGCCCCCGTGAGCTACATAATCGCCCCCGTCACGTTGCTCACGGGGGCGATTGCAAAATTAAAAATCGCCCCAGTGGAATTATAAAATAAAGATTATCTTTTCTGTCATAACTTTAACACAATATTGAGTTTCAATTTACAAACCTTAAACCAATGAAATTGAACTTAGATTAGCGTGCAAGATTTCTCGTTCTATGAGTAGGCCTATTATTACCGATTCAGCTCGCAGTGCAGTGCCGCCGTCAGCAGTGGTTATAGGCCTACTACGCCGTTAGTAACGGTACGTGTGCACGCTGCCGCGCCATGTCTGCTGGAGCTATGGAGGCGATCGCGCAAGGGCAGAAACATGGTCATGGAGAAGTTTTTCGTTGTGAAAGCGTAAACCCGCTGAAATCTGGTGATTTCAAATTATTATATTTTGGTAATGGTTCTACTGTAGAAGTCATGATACGGAGGCTTCGAGGTTAATGTTTACAGGTGTCTTTATTAGAACCAAACTGCGTCATGATTCAATCTCATGAGCCATCTTTAGAACCCTAGTCTATTGTCAAGACTTACATAATATCAGCACATCTCCCTTTCTAAGAAGGGTTACATTCTTTTTCCACAGAAATAACATAACACATTATTTTTAACACTTACTTTTGAACACATCGCTGGATATTAATTTTGGTTTCAATATGTTTTCCAAATCTGGAAACAATGCATATATGGCGAGCGTTGGGTTTGTTTTGATCTGTTTCAAATACTTTTCAAGAAATAAATGATTTTGTGAGTTGTTTCTTTGACCATGCATTCAGAATATTTTGCAACATTTCTTTTGTATGTTATTTCTTTCCAATAACTTTTCAATCCAGTGATTAACACACTTAAGCTTTAACTTGAGCTTGAACATAACTTAACGATATCCAATCTTGATATCTTCCAAGTATCTGTGGATATAACAAAAAACATATATACAGTTAATGTTAAAACATTCATAACAATATAATATAATGTCCTTTTAAAGGCAAAGTGTAACTTTCACTTTCAGTTCTTCTTGATATTATCAGCTTTTGTTAATATAGTCCTTTTGCTTTTCATTGTTCATAGTTCAATTTGTTTTTGTGATTATTTCACAAGTCCATTCGATTTGGCGGTTTGCTTATTCGTCCACTTCTGGTGGTCATGTAGGATGATGCTTGCTGGGCTGGTACGCCGGAACGCTCAGGGGTTGGTTCGCTAACATCCTCGTCATCTGGATCGCTGTCCGTCTGTGTTGTCTGTTGGAACCGATCATCCCTTCGTGTGGGTGCCGGTCTGAGATGACGTCGGTTTCTTCGTCTAATCTCTCCATACTCTGTCTCTACCAAATATGATCTGTTTGGCAGTTTGACTTTGACGATGCCACTTTGTGACCATCGATTGTTGTGCATGTTTTGAAGTCTTACAGTCTGACCTATGTTTAGTTCTGGTAGGTCTCGAGCATGTTTATCATATCGCTCTTTCTGCTTTACCTTCTGCCCTTCCTTCCTTTCCCTCACCTGTTGAGGATTGATGTGTTGTGGATCAAGAAGTTTGTCCACCATGGGCAGGTTTGATCTCAATCGCCTGTTGTACAGGAGTTCAGCTGGCGATTTTCCACATTCTAGTGGTGAGCTTCTGTAGACTTGTAGTGCCCTGTAGACATCTTGTCTACTGTCTTGGCATTTGCGGATGAGATTCTTCACAATTTTCACTGCATTCTCTGCTAGTCCGTTCGACTGAGGATGATACGGACTTGTTGTTGTGTGGCAGAAGTCCCAATCTTGTGCAAAGTTTTTGAACTCTTTACTAGCTAATTGCGGACCATTATCCGTCACGAGTTCACTTGGTGTGCCTTGTCTTGAAAAGACTTCTTTCATTTTTGTTATCACTGTTTTACTTGTTGTTGTTGACAGTGGACAGACTTCAATGAATTGTGAATAGTAATCTACTATTACCATGTAATCTTTGTTATTCAGTGTGAACAAGTCTGCAGCGATCTTTTCCCACGGTCTGTTTGGTACCGTGTGTGGTTTCAGACTTTCTGTCTGTTGTTTTGGTTTATACATCAAGCATGAGTTACAATTTTGTACCATTTCTGTTATGTCTTGATTTATTCTGGGCCAATACAAGACTTCTCTTGCACGTCTCTTGCATTTTTCTATGCCCAAATGTCCTTCATGGATCTTATCCAACATCTGTTTTTTCATTGTGCTTGGTACAACGATCCTGCTGCCTTTCATGATTAAGCCTTCGGCTTCTGACAGCTCATTTCTAATGTTCCAGTATGCTCTAATTGCTACTGGACATTGTTGTTTTGTTTCAGGCCATCCATCTTTGATGATGCCTATCAATTCTTGTAGTGTTTTGTCTTTCTGTGTTTCATCTACAAACTGACTTTTTCTGTTTGATGTGACTGGTAATGTCTCCATTATTGTGTCTACATAGATTCTGATGTCTTCTTCTCTTTCGACCTGCATGTCTGCCTGTGGATCTACCGCTCTAGACAATGCATCTGCGGTGTACATGTATTTTCCTGGTGTGTAGGATACTTTCAAATCGTATCTCTGCACTCGGATTAGTAGGCGTTGAATGCGAAGAGGACAATCACAGAGTGATTTTTTGAACAATGGTACAAGAGGTTTATGATCTGTTTCGACTTCTACTTGTCGTCCATGTATGTATTGGTGAAATCTTTCACATGCAGACGTCATCGCTAGCAGTTCTTTTTCTATCTGCGCGTAGCGAGTTTCTGCATCAGTCATTGCTCTCGATGCATAAGCAATGGGGAACCAATTCTGGTCATGTTGTTGCAGTAGCACTGCACCTAGTCCATTCTTGGATGCATCAGCTGATAGCTTCGTCGGCTTTGTGCTGTCATAGAAATGGAGCACTGGTTCTTGTGTCAGAGCTTCCTTGAGTTGACACCAAGCTTTTTCTTGTGCATCTTGCCACATCCACTCATTTCTTTTCTCAAGAAGACTTCTCAGCGGGGCTGACTTTGTGGATAAATCTGGTATGAACTTTCCTTGGTAGTTAACCATACCTAAGAACCTTTGAACATCTTGCTTGTTCTGTGGTCTTTCCATGTTCAATATGGCTGCAACCTTCTTTGGATCTGGTTGAACACCTTGTTCACTGATCACATCGCCAATGAATGTCATTTGGCTCACATTGAACTCACATTTGTCTCTGTTGAGTTTCAGATTTGCTTTCTGAGCTATGTCAAGGACCTGTTTCAGTCTGGTGTCATGTTCCTGTTGGGTTGACCCCCATACTACTATGTCATCCATCATTGTGTTGACACCAGGTATGTGTGCGAACAAATTATGCACAACCTTGTGGAACACTTCTGGCGCACTGCAGACCCCAAATGGTAACCTGAGAAATCTGTATCTCCCAAATGGCGTTATGAAAGTACATAGCCTTGAGCTTTCCTCATCTAACTCTATCTGCCAGAAACCTGAGGACGCATCTAATTTGCTGAAGTACTTAGCTCCTGCAAACTGTGCTGTTATTTCCTCTCTTGATGGTAGCTGGTAGTGCTCTCTTTTTATGGACCTATTTAGATCTCTTGGATCGAGACATACTCGAAGCTGATTGTTTTTCTTCATCACCACCACGAGCGACGACACCCAATCACTTGGTTCATCCACTGGTGTGATAACTTTAAGTCGTTCCATTTTATCTAGCTCCTCCTTGAGCTGATTTCGCAGTGGAAATGGAATTTTTCGACATGCATGTTGTACAGGTTGAGCATTTTCTTTTAGCGTGATATGATGCTTTCCAGGAACACATCCTAACCCTTCAAACACGTCTTCATAGTCATCTACTATTACATTCTTTGATTCTGTTTTGACATTCAAGACTCTCTTTACAAGCTTCAATTGCTCACATGCTTGTAAGCCTAACAATGGTTGACGATCACCAGGAGTTACTAGAACAGCCATATTGTGAGTTAAACCTTTGTACTCCACTTGTACATAACAACGACCCTTTACTGGAATTACTACTCCACTGTAGCCTGTCAATCTCACTCTAGCTGGATGCAGCTTTGGCCTGGGAATCAAACTCTGATACACTGATTCTGGAAGGAGGTTTGTCTGAGCACCAGTATCTAACTTGAAAATAACCGGCCTACTATTGACAACTAGCTTGACCTTCCACTCATCACGAGACTCTAATGTTTCTACAACATCAACCATGAACTCATCTTCGACCTCGAGATTTTGCATCTCGTTGATAACTTTACTCATTGGAGTTTTACAACACTTCGCAAAATGATTTCCAAGACCACACTTTTTGCAAATTTGACCTTGAGCAGGGCATGCATTTTGACCATGCCAGTTTCCACAACGACCGCAACTATTTCTAGATTTCTGACCTTGAGTCTGATTTTGACTTCGATATGGCCTTTGAGTTTGTTGTTGACCTAGACTTTGCCTTGGATTTTGTCTTTGATTACCGTGAAACAACTTTCTCCTACTCCCAAGAGCATCAACCGAGACTTCATCCGTGGAACTCAGCTCTTTTGCCTGAGCTCGAGTAGTTTCAGCAGAACGACACAACTGTAACGTCTTATCCAGCGTCAAATCATCTTGCCTCAATAGGCGTTCCCTGACCATGGAGTTCACAATTCCACAGATAATTCTATCACGAATGAGGCTATCCTTTAAGTCACCAAAATCACAAGACTTAGCTCTATTGCGCAATTCAGTTGCATACTGATCTGTTGTTTCATTTTCGTGTTGTGACCGTGTGAAAAATTTGTGTCTCTCAAATGTTACATTACGTTTTGGCATGCAATAGTTCTCAAATTTCTTTAGCACTTTCTCTAATTTCATCTCATCTCCGGTATCTTCCTCAAACTGGAATGTATTGTAAATGTCAAGAGCTTCTTCCCCTATGACATGTAGGAGCATGGATGTTTGTGCTTTTTCTTCTGTCTTTGACATTCCACTGGCCACATTATACAATTCAAATCTTTGTTTGAAACGTTTCCAATTTTCTGCTAAGTTTCCTGTCAGCTCCAATGGCTGTGGTTGACTTAGATTTGTTGCCATGGTTTCTTATTTGTTTCTCTCTGAACAATGCTTTAACCTCTTATTTACTATTGTGGTATCTTTACAACCTAGTCAAACTAACGAGACAAGCAATTTCACCGAGTTAAAATATGCCGACGCATGTACGCACTCATAGCCACATACACACAGTTTGCACACACGGGACTGAGCCCTTCAATCTGGCGTAAAAATGGAAATCCTGCACCTGTTTATTCCTGGGTTCTATCCTCCCTCGAAGTCAACATCTGTCCTTGATCGGGAAGACCTGACACCATATTATATTTTGGTAATGGTTCTACTGTAGAAGTCATGATACGGAGGCTTGGAGGTTAATGTTTACAGGTGTCTTTATTAGAACCAAACTGCGTCATGATTCAATCTCATGAGCCATCTTTAGAACCCTAGTCTATTGTCAAGACTTACATAATATCAGCACAAAATGACCAGCAAATAATCAACCTCGACCAGTAAATCAATATTAGGGACTTTTAGATTTGCACGATGAGAACGTGGACTGCAGGCACTGCCAGTGCTTAAAAGGACGTCACATGTGACTGCCAGTGCCTTAAAAGAACACGTCCACGTCCACGCAAATCTAAAAAATCTAAAAGTCCCTATTGAGAAAAAGAGGAAGACCAAGATGTCGTGGAATGATATGGTAACATGGGCAGATCTACCGGGGGGGGGGGTTAGGGGGTTTAACCCCCTCCTCCCCCCCCCCCGGCCCCCTTGGCCTGCCAAGTGAAAATGTGATGTGCATAGAAAAACGCCATTATGTGTCCAGATCGACCCACACAGTAAGATGTTAGTAGATGCCAGGAAAACAATACGGGGGTTCAAAATAGCAACAACAAAAAATCGCCTCGCCGATATGCGGCTCGTGGACGATGCTTCGCATGTAAGTAAATGCCAGGAAAACATCACTTACGGGGGTCCTAAATCAGGGGCGGATCCAGCCGGCGGCAAGAGGGGGGGGGGCCCAAATCTTGAGAAAATATTTAGCGGCGAATCAGCCAGCCGGCGATCGGCGAATGAGCGGAGGGGGGGGGGGGATATAATGCACATAAGTTTAGGGGGGTCCAGTTTTGGGGGAACATTTTTGCGCCGACTCAGCCGGCCGGTGAATATTAAAGTTGGGGGGGGGGGAATGCTGGAGAGGAGGACCACTATTTTTTTTTTCAGGGGGGGGGGGAGGTGAAGCGCCATTTTAGCATGACTTTCTTTTTAACTCTTACTTTCACCTATCTCAGATAACCCTAAGTTTTTGGTTGCTGCTTTATATGTAGTTGATAATGCATGATTAAAATAAAGAGAGAGAGAGAGAACCACCATCATTTTGCAATGGTTTAGGGTTTGTGTAATGTACATTTGAAACCATTTCTTAGCGTCTCAACCCTAAAAAAATAGCGAAACTATTTTTGAGGAAAAGCATTATACTGAACTGAATAAAGAATATTAGCTTTATATTGGCTCATACTAATACTGATACCGGCTAAAGACAATGTGGTATTTGTATAGAGGTATTCCAAAATGACATTCTGATAATCAAAATTTTGTTCTGGTATCATTCTGTATATACGCATAATACAACTGATCTTTATGATTTCTTAACGTGACATAGCTTCTTCTCCCCCTGCAAACAAAAAAGAAAACAAGGTTATTTAATAAAAGAATCATGCGACAAATAATCATTGTGATTCAAATTGTGCAAGGATTTTTTGAATAAGCAATGCTTTTCACCAGAATCTTCTTTGTAAAAACGGCTTTTACAAATCTCAGCCATGCAATTCTGCCACTGTGTTGTAAGATCACTTTCAGATTAGGATAAGTGTATTCTTTAATGAGTATTTTACATTAAATAGAACGTCTCAACTCAGTAAGCATGGCTGAGATTTGTAAAAGTTGTTTTTACAAAGAAGATTCGGGTGAATAGCAGTGCTTATTCAAACAAATATTCGCATCAATTTGAATCACAATCATTATTTGTCGCTTAATCCCTTTTAATGACCTTGTTTTCTTTCTCGTTTGCAAGGGGAGAAGAAGATATGTCACGTTAAAGACATCATAAAGATCAGTGTTGTATGCCTATATATTATATACACAGACCCCGCGGAACGTTTATCAAAGTGGGGGGGGGGGGGGGCTAAAGTATTTACGATCAGGTAGAGGGTAGCGAGCGTAAATTGGTGTGGGGGGGGGACAGGGGTTTTAGGCATTTAATTACGGTCAGAGAAGCACAAATATTTTGATGCCGCATTTGTGTCACTGGCAGGTCAGGGGGGCGGGCGTTTTTTATTTTATTTTTCAAGGTAAAATTTACGTTACTATCTTATTTTTTAACCGGTTTGGGAGGCTGGGGGGGGGGCTGGCCTGTAGAATCGGCCCGTGGATCCGCGCCTGTCCAAAATAGCACACACACAAAATCGCCTCGCCGCTACGCAGCTCAGTAAAGAAAGAATGTAAAGGTTGCTTCCAATAATGAGGAGGAAATAATGTGCAGAACGAGAAGACATCGAGAGAATGTCATCACGGGATTAAAGTCAGTAACAGCTATGTAGCTCGTAAATTTGTAAGAGGGAAAATGCTGATTAAAATGATAATGATGAAACAGCAAATAATTGAGGAGTATCATAGGTACCAATTCAATGGATATTTGTATAAAAAAGAGCCCCCGTCAGTACTAAAAGAGCCCCCGTGAGAAGGCTCACGGGGGCTCTTTTTGGGGGGGAAGAGCCCCCGTGGACAAAAAATTAATTTGAGCCCTGCATCGAAATACAAGTGTATTTCTGTTGGTGTGCTGTCCTGCATACATCTCATAATTTGATATGTAAACTTCTGAATTTGTTTCATAGATTTTTAAATATTTTTTTAAATATTTGTTTTTCAAACTTGCTAAGCTCCAACCCCAAAAACTTCCAGATCTCATTCCCCTTGTGACATCATCTGTCAGTCATCAATGAGCTAACTTGAGAAAGTGGTATGTATCTTTGCTGAAGTCGATCACCTGTTACAATACGTAATACAATAGCAACATACAAGTTAATAGTTATTAATATTATCATTATTATAATTGTTATCATATATTATCATCGTTTATATTATGATAATTATTATCAAAAGTTACTCGTCATATTGTTTCAAATTTTCATTTTACCACTTTGCTATAGATGTTAATGAGTGTGAGCTTGATACAAGTGTCTGTAGTAATGGAAGATGTGTCAACTTGGATGGATCATACACGTGTGTCTGCAATGCTGGATTCATGTTAGTCAATGCAAATTCTTGCAATGGTATGTCTAAATATAAGTTTTTCTTTTTCAATAAGGAATAATGTAGGTTTAATGACCAACTTTGTAAAATTAAAAAAAATATCGAAAGATAAAAACAAACAAATCAATATCAAGTTCGTTCAGTTTTATGCAAAATTTTATGAAGGAATAGTTCATCATCCAAATAGCATTTTGATATAGTTTTTTTTCTTGTGATTTCATAGTTACATATTCAAAAGTGTGTAACAAATTTTCAAATGAAAAAAATAAAGTGAAAAGCATTCAAATTCACACCAGACGAAATGTGGTAAAAATTTGGCCATTCAATTGGTTAGGGCATGAATAATGTACCCGGTAGGTGTTAGCTGTACATATATGAAAATTACTTGATACATTCCTTATAAATCATCTGACGAGAATGGTATTGTATATATTGTACACTTTCCATCTGTAGTCTCCTTATGACAATCTTGTTCCATGAGAATACAAAACCGAATGTATTAATGATTTTTTGCCTGGAGGAAACACATTGAAGTATCCATAAATATATTGGCTTCATGTCATTGTTTTTTATATTTTTTTAATGTATATCCAGCTCTCCCAAGCAGTCTGTCCACTAGTCAAGTGACTGTGAAGATCACAGGACAAAGTCTGAATGGTCAAATCCTGACGTATACATCAGAATTAACAAATAGGACATCGACCAAATTCATGGAATATGAAGTTGCATTCTGTTACATTGTAAGTATATCTTTCTTCACCAGTAAATGCGAGAAAACTGACGACAATTTTTTAGACGCAGATATGTGGTGCTTCTTCAGCTTGCAAATCCAACACACTACATCATCACCATATATCACATTAAGATGTCTATACAAATGTCAGGTAGTGCAGTAGTCTACTGAAACTTTGTAATAAAGTGTTGGTTCCTCCTGAACAAATGCTACTTGTAGATCCATGAAATAAAAGAGAATATACTTGTAGTCCTTTCTTTATGCCTCCGCCACTGAAGATGGTGCAGAAGACATTGTTTTTATCGTCTTGCCAGTTCGTCCTCCGTTCATCCCATTTGAACAAAACTCAGATGAAATATGTACAAGTATGAGTATGAAAAGTTGAACTGACTATATTTTTGGTGTTAAAACTTGAAGGTCAAATGTCACAGGCTCATAAATGTGTTTTCAAATACCAAAAATATATCTTGTTTACGCAATAACTTGAAAATGCTTTGAAGCAATTCACACCATACTTTGATGAAGTGTGCATAAACATTCAAGGATGAACTGATTGGATCTTGGGTGAGAGATGTCAAAAGTCAAAGGTCACATGGTCATGAAAGCGTTAAACTTACCAGAAAATATATCTTCACTGCAATAATGGGTTGATGTCAAAGTCAGAGGAACATTCATATAGACAGAGGTATATTGGAGAAGTAAGAGGAGACACTCTACTGCTATGGGTTATTAGTGTTGTATTTCTGATCATTTTGTTGTTTCCAGAACCTCGTAGTTTACATCAATTTGTGTGCACTACATAATCACCCTGTATCTATTGATTTTTCAGTGCATGACTGGAACTGAACTTTATCTTTGAAAAAAAAGGAAATATATTTACATGAACTACATATGTATACAAGCATACTCTGATTCTGGCTTTCTCTACTTTCTCATTTATCAGTTCAGCCAATACGTAAGGGAACAGTTAGGTTCTCAACTTGTTGATGCTAATTGCATAGTGCTGTCATTCAGCCAAGGTAGCGTAGTCAGTGACGTGCAAGTGGAACTTGCTGCTGAGAGCCAAAGTGTAGCAGATGGGCTTGCTGTGAGTTTATCTGCCTTATCTACCAACATTGATCAAAACTTATCAGCTAATGGTCAAACTCTGGTAGCGTCTATATCGGCAGAAGGTAAGAGTAAAATCCAGGCTTTTTTCACCAGCCATTCTTCTCTTAAGACACCTTACAAGAGGATATTATCTTTTTAGTTGTCAAAACAAATAATGTTGTTGTTTGTGACTTGGTATCTTGACATGAGTTCAGCTGTCTGCAATGTATAAAGAGCCACCTTCGCAAATGACAGGCAATGCCAGAGGACACAATCACAGGTCAATTTCAGATACTTTTTGCATTAGAAATTTATAGTATAGCCTTGCAAATGTTAAAAGTTTGTGATTTTAATTTGACGGTCCTTAATTATTTGCAAAATCATATCTAAGATTAACTGGTAATGAACTCTAGATCACTAAGGGCTAGAGTGAGTATCTGATGCAACCAAGGGATAAGATGTTGTGTTCAAGATACACTCGAACATACAGCAAATAGTGTTTGTTTTTAAAATTTGTTTGTGACAAATAATTCTTGAAATTATGATATCTTGGAGTGACTTGCATTTGAACCAATTGTTATGTCATACAATATCGAATCAAAGATGGTTCTGTAGTAATACCAAGGCAAGAAAAGGCATGGTGCTGGTGCACATGGTGTTTGACATTGTCCAATCCATGGGATTCGACCCCTGTGCAGTCAACCGTGAAGAGATGCCCAACAAAAATGGTACTAAAATAAGCTGGAGGAATGACGCTACTTATCATATTCTGTACTTATAGTTCTATAGATTAGGCAATTTCAAAAATTGCACACATCTAGCTGTCAAAGCACATGTAGTATTCAGTAGACTGTATTATTATTATTACTACCGTATTTGTTCATATTAGAGTAGTTATGGAGTTCTTGTGTTTTCTACTGTTTATACCTTGTCAATAAATAACGATAAAATAAGTTGGTCAGTTATCTGAAGTAATTTGAATCATTCATATATCTTTGAAATGAACAGTTCAGTGCGATCAAACGAACTGCCAGAACGGTGGGACATGTACTTCTGCTGGACAGCCTTGTAATTGCCCAGCTGGTTTTACAGGAGACCTTTGCCAGAATGGTAAGTTGTGTAATTAGTCATTTTTAGTGTGCTTATGCTCCCTCTCACTCATTCTCCCTAGGCATACACGTTTATATATATATATATATATATATATATATATATATGGTTTTATATACAGTTTCACAAGAAATGGATGTGAGGGTACTCTCTTTTCATTGCGTACATGTACATGTATATTTGTTTGATCATGTTTTTCCTAATCTCATATCTGATACATTTATTTTGCAGCTCCTCAAGGATTGTCGAATGGAGCCATCATTGGTATTGCTCTCGGAGTTTTTGGTTTTGTTCTCGTCCTCATAACCTGTGTCTGCTGCGTTTTCGTACAAGGTGTCAGACGAAATCAAGCAACAAAACTGATGCTCGCGTGAGTATTACAATACATTTACAAATGAACGAGCTCAAGCTATTACTGACCACATCTACATGTATGATTTCAATATATATGACGACTGTAGTAACAAGATAATAGCTCTAGAGCTTGAATTGGATAACACATTACATTAAATGGTAGTTTTATGTTGACACAATTCAATAATACTTTGTTAAGTATGGGACCTATATATGTATTTTTGACTTGCCTTAGATGTATCTAAGGCAAAACAAACAAACCATTCTTTTATTACGAGCATACCAAAACTCTTTGTATATATGTTTATACATGTTCTTACTTATTGTTTATTGCTGTTATGAATTTATGTTCAATATTTTGTTATTAATATTATTATCATATCTATATTTGTTAACCCTTACTGTACTGGGCTATTTTGAGCACCTCCTGACTGGGGGGGGGGGGGGGGCCTGGGAGGCCCCCCCCCCCTATGATCTCGGCCGTCGGATGTCCGATGAACACGAAAATTTGCATGTTTGTAGATATTTACGTAACAAACAAGATGGTGTAATTAGTTTTTTGCAAATATGCAAATTTTTGTCGTTATAGCCTAATTAATTATGCAAAATGCTAATTTTATGCATTTTACAGAAAACGTGTCAAACTTCACTTTTTGAACGTTGAAACTCATTATTCATATGAAACTTCTTTTCTAACACAAAATATTTATTTGGATGTAATTAATAATGATAATTTATGCAAATTTGATGCGATTTTCAAATAATTATTTTCTTATGTATTTTATTGTTTTTTTTATTTCTTATTATATCTATTGTTTTTATTTCTTATGTATTCTTTTGTTCTGGAATACATCAAGTGACTTTGAGAAACACAAAAGCAATTCGATATCAATTCATATCACCCACTTAGGAAGGAATACATCTAAACCTGTATTCACATTTCTGCTTGTACATGAATATATGCAATTATAGCATATTTTTGATGACATGCGCATACTAATTGTTATGTAACACCTCACAGGTATATCCGATTGCGACGAAAATGGTATCAAAACGTGCGTAAGACTTGAGGGAAAAAAGTCATGAAACGACAATTCAAAATTTCAAGCGGTTGCGGCGCAATCTCCGAAAATGTCGAGGGGGGGCCTCCCAGGCCCCCCCCCCCCCCAGTACAGTAAGGGTTAAACTATAATGTACATCATTATGTTTAACAGGGCCTCATGGAAGACCACCATTACTGGTGATAATGAGTCACCTTGTCTAAATATCAGAAATAAATAATTAAATATATAAATATAGAGGTGCCTTGCCAAGTGATATTCAACTTTTCTTGATATGTTGTATGAATGCTATTAAGAAAGTATCTATCAATCTATCTATAAATCTGCTGCCTATTTGTACATATCTCTATCTACCTGTCTACATTTATTTATATAATTATAAACCTTTATCCTCCTTTCTATCCATCTGCATACCTGTTTATCTATCAATCTGTCCCACTCTGTGTAACCACAGATCTCTCTCGATTCTCTTTGAGATGCAGAGAACCACTTGATTGGACCATCACAGTTCTTAGTGATGGTCTTCTGTCTCGACACATTTTGTAAATTTTGTGATGCTATTACTCACAATGTTTATAACACTGGCAGGAATTGATTCCTTGAAATGCTTGAGTGACGTATGGCATAATAATCGGGAGCGCCAGGAGTGTCACGTATGAGAGACATGAGCGCTATACAAGAACCCACTATTATTATTATTATTATTATTACTTATGAAAAAAATATATAACAATGTTTTGTTTTGTTTTGTTTTCAGTGAAGCACGGTATGTCGATTCGAGCAGACAAAATAGAGGCTTCTACGGAAACGAATCTTTCAATGGTTCTGAGGAGTACGATTCCCTTGAAGGACGCCGGTATGCAGTTGGTCAAGCTTTGGATCGACTGCGCGGAACTGATGCACATGTATAAACGGTTTCCTTGTCCATGTGTTTAAAGGGATAGTTGAGTTCTGTTTTCAGACAGCAAATGCCTTTAAAGTGCATGGTTATTGCTCTTATTCTTATCTATGACATTTATAGTGCCCTTTTAGAACCTAAAATTGCTATGAAGATAATTTTAGATCCCAAAATGTGCGAAATTTAGCCAACATGATCATACGAATTCAGCTCCACTTTCCAAAAAACACGGTAACCGTTAATTAATTATTTAATTCAAAATAACAATACATGAGCCGGCTAATTGTGGGTAATATAAGCAACACGAAAATGCCAACAAAAAAAAACAACATCGGCATAAATATGACATATGACATAAAAGGCGTTATTTCGTTTTTTCCACGTTTTTTTCAAATTTTTCAAAATATCTAATATTAGTGGTGGTACACAAGTATTAGAAATTGTTATATTTCAGCCGTCTCTGAACCGATTTCGATCAAAGATGATTTTGTCATTTAAATATTACGTTCTTTCAAATTTGACACTCAGTTTTTCATTATCTTACAAAAAATATTTTGTGTAGCGCCCTCTGCAACAGAACTCAACTCCCTTTAACGCTATATATACCACACAAATAATCTCCCTCTTCAACATATATTTATCATGTAATAGATATACCAAAGGCTTTTTATAATTTACAAAATAGCTGAACATTGTTTTCACACTCCTGCACATACATCGCTTGTATAAGAAATGTATTACCATCCTTACAACACCATACTTGCCTCCTTTAAACGATGTCATGCATGATATTTATCGAGAAATGAAAATGTGTTTCAATTTAGTTTCTTACATTTATATTCCTCATTTGTTTACTACTGTTTCATATTCATAGAGAGAAGCCAGAAGTGTTCCTATACAAAATATGCAATTTTCTCAAAACAATTATAGTAATTACTTAATGTTTAGAATGCATGATGGTGGGGCAATGTGTGCTTGAAATTAAATGATTCTTCATGCAACATATACAATGAATTTGACCCCGACACAGCAAGGATTATCAACATAACAACAAATAGTGAAAACAAAACAACCAAGAAAATCATCAAGGCGTGGATGGTGAATGTGCACCGCCCCCCCCCCCCCATCCTGTACTTAACCTCCAGGACATATACCACTGCTTGAAATACCCACGTAGATATCAAAATCTGAATATCAGTAAGGAATTATATTCAGCTTGACAATGAATGTTCACATTGAATAGACCATTTTACTAACTCTTTCAATTTATACACATTTCTTCTCCCCATTACCAGCCATTCCGTTCATCTGCTAATAATTGCATCTCTATGAATGGGATACACTTTGCTTACATTATTTCGTGCTATGTTGGTAAATCCTCTGGCAAGTTTTTGAGTAGTCAAGAAAAACATTTGTTTAAAAAGTATGCATACAATTGATAAACAGGTCTAGTGAATGTTTTTTTTTTTTTTTTTATTGTTCAAGATACAACTAGATTCTTGATTATCTGTTTTTAATCAGTATACTTTTCAATTTAATGATTTTATAGATTATGTTTTGATAGAAAAAGAAATTATCAAGTCTTTTATTATTGTTTGTCTTCCCAACAGCATCATGAAGATCGCAATTTCAGGACTCCCTATGTGGTAGATGGGAGTGAAACGGTATGTAGAAGATTATTTGCATTTGACAATGCTCTGCATTCGTAGTGTCATTTATCAGGAGAGTTTGGCCAACCATATTTGAGTTGGGCGAACCATTTATGAGTTTGGCAAAGCATTGCAAATACTGCTATGATGGGCAGACACCTAACAAAGATACACCATGTTCTGACCAACTGAAATCAAGCTGGTCAAACTCTTGTGTATATGGCTCTGAGTTCTTGTAATACGGTATGCCACCTATCAGATGTCATGGGCCAATTTATGACTTCTGGGCTAGACATAAAATCTGAGCTCTCTCGGCGGTATTGTTGCGTGGCCTTTTCACCCACTGTTTGTGGACATTTGATGCATACAGAGTCATCGAATGAAGAACCTTGGAACGTGTCAACTCCTTTCTCCCAAGAACTATACAAGATTGGCATAAGTTACCCCTTTAAATTGGTGGGAAAGTTAATCTCCCCTTCCAAAATTCTTTATATGTATTATTTAATGTTAATTTAAGTAATGATAACGATCTTGGTTTGTAATAGGGCTTGATACATTGGCCATGTCTCAAAGCACTTTATTGTTATAGTATTACCATTTTTCATTGGATTTAGGCTTGCCTGCACACAATGCATGCAAATGTAGGCATATTCTCCTGAGGTACCAACAGCCCAGCCAAGTGCCATTTTACAGAAAACCACAATGCTAAGCAAACTGCAGTGACTTTCGCATCATGCCTGGTACCCATTTAATACCTGAGTAGAGATTAGTAAATGTGGATTAATTCCAGTCAAAGGACATTGCTTGGCTTGGATTCGAACCCTCAACCCTTGGATTAAAAGTCAAGTTAATGGACCACTATACCACGATACCTCCACTTTGACCGTCTTAGGAAAATGACCCATTCCCATCTTAATATACTGGAATTACTTTTAATTAATTAATAAGTTATTTTACAATGCTTGTCATGTCACATTTGTGTCCTTTCTCTAATCCCTCATTTATTATTTATATTTTAGAGTGTTCTTATCACCAGAAAATAAATTGTTTTATATGTTACTAGTTCCATGTTGTATCACTTGATTCCAAATATGAGTTTTAGAGATATTACTTTAAATATTTTAACTTAAATTATTATAACACTCTCAATTGTTATACAAGAAACTTGTGAGTAGACTATGGAGTATGCAGTGCACCCTCAGCACTCGCTTCTGATAGGGCTCGCACGGAACCGAAGTCCAACTTGGGTTCCACATGCACTGTTTTATATCCTTACCTTTTAACCGTGAATCCATTAGATGCCTGGTTAAATGTTGAAGTTTGATTTATTAATTCTAGCAATACATAACTTATTTGTGTTAAGTGATTGGTACACTTTAATACCAAAGGATATGTATTTTCTTTCAAACTTTGATTTTCTGTTTTGTTCTACTCTTCTTTATTACAGTACAACGGTGTGGAGCGAAATCCAATGCATTATTGATCACCAAGAAACTTACCTTCGGACAAAGAACGAATATGACAACAGAAAAGAATTTAGTGAATTAGTTACGTCTTATGGATAGATGGGTTCTCTTCTGGATAGGCTAAATATCAAAGTGTATACAATCATATTATTAGATTAAGTAAGGGCTTACTTGCATTTGATAGATTGACTGATTTAATTGATGAAATCATTCCAAGTCTCTGTTACAAACAACCATACTATTTTATCAATTAACGGCTTACTTGCATTTGACCGATTGGCTGATTGAACTGATGTAATCATGTTAAACTCACATCATTTTAAAAAGACTGCTTTTCAGCAAGTCTGTGTTACAAACATAAAATTGATGTTATACAGATCAAATTGGATATAAGTACATGAATGATTTCAATGTAATTTACTGTATCTGTGAATATATAAGGGTTTCATTGTTAATCTAGAAATGGTTTGATATCATATCTTTATTGATCAAGTAATTTATATTCATGTTACAACAAATTACAAAAATGTGGTAAAAAATGATTTCACCCAAACTGTTATCTAAAGAGCCAATTCCTATCACATGCTTTTAACGTGTACCAATTGTAAGTCTTTAAATAGTACGAATTTTCTATAGTTTTATTTCAATTGCTTATGGTAGCGGGAGTATAACACCTCCTCTCTCTCTTTCTCTCTCTCTCTTTCTCTCTCTCTCTTTCTCTCTCTCTCTTTCTCGCTCTCTCTCTCTCTCTCTCTCTATATATATATATATATTAGAAGAATACACTACTTAGCATTCTGATTTTGTATGAATAGATTTAAATGCATATGATGTAGAAAGGAGGGCTATCAAGTAAACAGAATATTATGATCACATGGGATCAATCCATGGCGCTGAAACAGTACAAACAGTAATTTTGAATCTTTCCTTTATGAATATAAATAACATTATTAACCTCTTGTACTTTTACCTGTGACATTTTTGCCAGGCAACAAAGTAACCCCCTTGATAGGCTAAATATCAAAGGGTATACAATCATACTATTATATTAATTAAGGGCTTACGGTATTTGCATTTAACCGATTGACTGAATAAATTGATGTAATCATGCTAAGTCTCTGTTACAAATGATCATACTATTATACTAATTAAGGTTTACTCAAATCAGTCTAAAAATACTGCTTGTCAGCAAGTCTTTGTTAAAAACATAAAACTAATGATATAGAAATATTTGAAGATAAATATAAAAAAGAATTGAATACGATTGTCTGTATCTGTGAGTGTACAAGGGCTGCATTGTTAATCAGGATGGGTTCGATATCATATATGTATTGATCAAGTAATTTATATTTATCTCACAAAACATCATGAATGTGGTAACATATGCTTTCTCCTTAACTGTTATCTAAATAGCTGATTCCTATCTCATGCTCTTAATGCGGATCAATTTTAAGACTTTAAATAGTACAAATTATCTATATATTTATTTCAAATGCTTATGTTAGCGGGGAGTATACCATCCCTCTCTTTGTCTCTCTCTTTATATATCTATTAGATGAATACTCTTTTTAATTGATATGGTTTTGTATAAATAGATTTATTTGCAAATTGTGTAGAAAAGGGCTATCAAGTACCCAGAATAATGTGATCATATAGGGTAAAAACATAGCACTAAAACAATACAAACAGTAACTTTAAATATTTCCTTTATGAATAAAAAACAATATTTTTTACCTCGTGCACTTGTACTTGTGACATTTTTGTCACATACCAAAGTTAACCCCCCCCCCCCCCCACCACCAGGAATATTTTGTATCCCACTTACTTCCCTTTCAATTAAAGGATTGTGTAACAAGGACTTGTTTGTTTAGTTAATTAATTAAAAGGTTATGCAGATTAAATAAAGATTAAGGGAAGTGTAACCAAAACTTTCACGTAGGTCCTTTCTCTTGTTTAGGAACGTGTCGCTTTAATAATGATGTAGAAATGAATTGGGTTGAAAAAGAATAAAAATACATGAATGTATGTATGATGCATTGAAACAAAGCAGGCTTACAATGGATGTGTCATGTAGCACAATACAAGTAAATTTATTAACGCACACATACTTTCTTTTGTCTCATTGCCATTTTAAAATATGTTTCTAAATATGTAATATATATCTTGTGTTTAATTTCTATATTCATGTTCCTCCTAAGCCATTCATTATACAGTACTAGGGTATTACCCCTTATAAGTCTTTCATGTTTCAAGGATGTATGTTTTTTAATTTTTTATATATATTTCTGTTCGTATGATATATTTTTGTATTGATATATATTTTTCATTAGAGATCACGAGTAATTTAAATAAATGTTCCAATAGGGAAGACTGCTGAATAGTTATTTGAGTCCATGTGTGATTCATACAGTACATGTTTTCAATACAGACAATTTAAGACGTGTGTAAACTATTATTATTATAATTATTATCATCATCATCAACATTTATTATTTAATACCAGGATTGTTGTTATCAAAATTCTCACTATTTATTATTATCAACATCATTATTATTATTATTATTACGATGAAAATAAGAGATATAAAGTAACGATTGCTTTATTACTAATCATAAAATGGTACATGAATACATGAGTCATTCAAGGAGAAGTGGGAATTGTATAGAATATGAGAAGGAAACAAGGGAAAGGTGTATAAAAGAGACGGATTGAAGTATAAACACAACATATCACAGGAGAGGACAGAGAGGGAGAGAGAGACTACTGAAACAATTTCGATCACTGAAAATCGTGAGAAAAAAAGAATGAAGAAGCCAGGAGGAGATCGACACTTTGTTTGAAAATGTGTAACGATTCCATTGCTTCTATCACGTTGACCTGTAAAGCCACTATTTTAGTTCGTGTCTGTATCGCACAAATACAGTTTTGCAGTGTATAGGCATCTTATTCTGTCTCCATCCCCTGTTTTTCTTGCCTGGCGAGACACATCTGTTGTTTCTAGCTGACACATCTCGCCGCATTCTACTGGCGAGATGTGTCTGATAGATCAGCGAGATGAGTCTACGATTCACGAAAAGTGTCCACTGCCGAAATGCAGTTACTTTCGTGACCCATCTTAAAGTGCGGGTTCATAGAAAATCACAAATATGGCAAATAGCGTATTACTAGAAACTGGTAAGCTAACAGATGGCCATCATGCAAGTTTTAGGTCAACTACATATCGGGGGGGGGGGGTTTATAAAAATACAAATAAAACAACCTCCATAGCATCTGGGATATGTGAGAGATTAGCCTGAAATAACGATATTTTAATGCCGTCACAATATGAACCAACCCTGCCCAAGCAGACGACATTCCATAAAGAATGAACATAATTGCAATGCTTTTATTTCTCAAATTATAATGAGTTTAGTGTATATAAATGTGATGGAATTTTACACCATTCAAAAATAGTTATGACCTCCATTCTGATAACGAAATTCTTTTTGTTTGGATATGGGTTAATGAACAATCAAAGAAACCACACTTTCACATTAAAAGACCTTCGGAATGATAGCATGGACGTACTTTTTGTTCCCTCTTGAAACGCCACGGTGTATACAGCTGAAAATACAATGGCGTCTTATTTTGTTTACAATTTAAGCAACGGATTCGTTTTTTTAAATTTCATTCTTGCATTTTTCATCAAAATAATACCATGCACGGGGTTAGGGTGAGGCAATAGAGTAAACATTTCGCCTGAGGGTATTGAAGTAAGAGAAGTAACTAAAGAAAAGATGACAAAACAGGCACTGAAATTGTGTGAGATGTCATGGGACATGGTCTGTTTGTGCACATCATGTTTAACATGTGACGTCATATCTCAGCTGCGACCGGGGAGCTTTTCAGGTGCTATGTCGTGGCTGTATCTAAGCGTTACTTCGAATGTTTCCAAGCATTGTCATCTTTGCAATAATGACATTAAAGTTATTTTTTTTTAATAAATGAACCTTCTCTTTAGCCGTAATAAGGCCCTTCATGATTGTTTGATTGCTTAGGAACGCATATGGATGGGGCCCCGCCGCTCGCTGACCTTTTTCTATCGAGTCTTGCGCAACTTTTAAAATAATTTTTTTGAAAATCGGACCTACGGTTACAAGGTCACATGACATTTTGTCTTTGCATGTCAGCCCGAAAATCGCTCATTTTTGTGATTTGTGTAAAAAACATATGGAAAAGTCATTTTTCCTAAAAACAGATCAAACATGGGTTATTGGGTCTTGTTTAAAGTTTAGGTGGTTGTTTTGGGAGTCAATATAGTTAAGAAATGAAATAAAACAACACAAATAATGAATTACATAAGTTAAAAAAACAATGAAATACCTAAGAAATTATCAAAACAAGGAATAACATAAGAAATAAGCTGGCTCTTCCAAAAAAATTTTGTCGTATTATTATTCAGAATGGTCTAATGAATATATGTAGTGAAAAAGAATGCTTAAATATTATGTGCATAAATTACCATAAATATGCAAATGAGTGAATTTTTCAAAAAATTGAAATTATCATATTATTCTATACACTTCACTTGACATGCGTGCACATTTTCGTGGCGATCGGCCCCTTCGCGGCCGAGATCTTAAGGGGGGGCCATTATGCCCCCCCCCCCCCCTGGCCGTACTAAGACCTCAAATAGCCCGGCCTTTTTAGGGTTAAGGAACTATACACGTGTTTACATGATACTGTCTAAACATATCTTTATTAAAGGTAAAACAAAATGTTGGTATGGGGTCATGATTTTTTTCCAAATGAACATATTGGAAGCATATGCGATCCTAAAATATTTAGTGATCGTTGTCGCGGTTGAAATAGAGTCTAATGAGTTACGAAATTGTAAATAATAAACTGTTTATGTTGTATAGCTCTCTCTCTCTCAAGATCAAGATATTAATTAAGCTATAAAACAATGTTTCTTGATTAAAATCGACCGATTAGATATTCCAGTTTGGAAATTATACATCACAACTACATATTCGGAGGTTTTCATGGTCGCAGCTACCATTGTAAGGCCGTAGAACCTATTTGAAATTTATAAAAATTTACCGGGAGCAATATTCATGTTTTTTCTCAAAAGCAGAAGTTTTTTAGGGTCTAAATTTGTTTGTGCGTATAATACATCCACAGGGGCATCCAAATATATCAAAATTGTAAAGGATCATTATCCACCCAATGTTCAAAATTGCACCCCCCCCCCCCCATTGAGCGCAAGGGAGGGGGAGGGGCATCTCCAAAAAAAGATAAAAATTAACGCCCCCCCCCCCCCTGGATCTGCGACTACGTATACGTATGTTGCTCCTTTATGAAGAAGTACTCCGTGAAGCCAAGTATTAACAGAGAATTGATAATAGCAGTATATATTGTAAAAGGCTACTCTTTATGGGGCAAATACCCTGGCTCCCTTGCGGCGAGTAAAAGCAGACATTTTGGGGGATTTTCAGGCGGTGTCCGGCTGGCTCCTGTACAGTTCCTATACGGGCGCCGTACGGGCGCCGTATTGCTGAGTTGCTCCCAGCGTTTTCATCTGACCGTTAAAACGGTAAATGGCCCCTCATCGTACGGGTCCCGCGCGAGCTCCGGATGGCAGGCCGCCGGGTAGAGGAAATAATAACAATAACAGTAATTTTTAAAAAGCGCATAATAAGAAATTCTCTATGCGCTTTACAATAATCAATTATACAATAAATTACATCTCTAAGGGCCCGGTGTGTTAGTGACCCAGGCATTTCTTGGAATGGCATACTCTCCCTAATCTAGCTAGTTTGTTAATAACATAGTGAGGAACTCCTTTCCAAAAGGGCTTACATCCATTGTCACCAAATTTGATTTGATTTTTTTATTAATGCATTATTCATGTGTGGCTTCTTTATAGTAATCTTTTTAAAAAAAGAAGATTTGTAGAAAAAAATAACAAAGAAAACATGTGCACCAAGCAGCTCAATGTACTTACTGGGTGTGAACAAAAATGGACACTTGTTTTCAGGTACGTTGCATGTTGATTAAATTTCGATAGTTGACGGAAAGATATTGTACAAAAAAATGTCTGGAGTAGAAATAGATGGTAGAACTTGTTTTAATTTTGTCATCATTTTCATTTCTTTCAAGAAGAGGATTTTCAACTTTGGTCAAACTCCACCCCTATACAAATTTTCATTTTGAATAGTGGTCCATGAGAGTCTAGGCCTCTGGCGCGTGTAACAAACGATACCCCTTTTCAAAATTCTTTCATTCGGGCCTACAAGTTGTGGAGTTTGGAGAGCATAATTGCCTATCGATACCGTGATGTGATGGTAGGTAGTTTCTTGTCTTTCTTCACTTAAAAATGCGGATCATGTGCCGATCCCCCCCCCCCCCGGTTGTACTAAAAATTGTGTAGATAGACAGTAAAATGCTATTGTTTGATACATACACTGAATACTCTCATATGCATCTGTAGACAATGTAATTTTAAGCCCAAATCTGAAATCCTCTAGCAGTCTAGTGAAAATAATTCAAAATAATGTAAACATGAATAAAAGCTGTGCCATTATTGATGTCTACACTTCTTTGAAAACCAGCTACGGGTACCTCATAAATATGAAATAAAATGTTTGCTTACCATTTTAAAAGTTATTACAGATCAAAAGTGTCAGGCGTTTTTTTTTACACCCAGTATTTGAAAATACAATTGAATCTATTGTAGAAATACTTTTCCGTTTTTATTTGTAAAAATACAAAATCGAATGTTTCTTAATTGATTCAAGATAAATTCTGATAATGATATAAATTGTTAAGTGCCCAAATCAAAAATATACTAGCCAGGCACCATGCATTAATAGACCCAAGAAAATACAAAACTATAATATTGTTAAATTGCTCGATAACATTGCTCAATCTTATTTGATTCGAAATATATATCATTAATGAAACATTGTAAAGGCTATATACTAGTAGTCTTTTAAAATCCTACACCATTATACAGAGCGCCACCACCGTCCAGGTAGGCACCATGTTTAGTAATATCATATATGTATAGACCGACGTTTATTTGAATTGTTTAGGAAAATGCGTAGCCAAAACTCCAATCGATTCGGATAAATTGCTATACATATATATTGATATTTATTCTTCTTATTAACACAATACCGTTATTTGTAAGCAGGACACACTATATAGAGTGGTTCTGACTGCGTACCAGAGAAAGTAGGAGGAGCCTACACAAACAAATAACTGTAAATCTAATGCAAAAATTGAAGTCCAGGGGTAGTTTACCCGTTCCTGGCATACTTTCGGAAACATAATTAATTATAATAAAAAAAACGGTAGCTCGAAAGTTGATACTTATTCTATTCTACTTTAGATAT